CCCCAAAACCCCAAAACCCCAAAACCCCAAAACCCCAGCCAGAATTTAGGTGGTGGAAATTTATTGGATTTTATAGATTAGTCAATTACATAAGACCCAATTTTAGAATTTTGCATGATCCTGATGTAGTCTTCCCTTGGGACGCAGGAAACTCTTATGCTTAGATTCTTTAAAGATTGTCAGAGAGATTCAGATGTGGAAATGCCGCCAATAAGATTCTCGAAATGACCAAGATTTAGTTTCCAGTTTCAACAGTCGATTTTTCCTCAAAAATCAAAGCTTAATTGCTCAATTTTCCACTCAGAAGTAAGTTTAGAGAGATCAGGGGAAGTCTCAGTATGGATTTTTCATGAGTAAAACTCAAGCTCAGGCTTGTCTCTTCAACAAGAGAGTAATTTTGTTAGTTGGGTCTGAGAAATCTCGAAGTTATAAAAATGAACCAACCGAGCGACTCTTGCGATCACTCGGGTGATTTCTCTGAAATATCTACTGATATTCTTTATTTTAATCTCATTGGAAATATAGTCATAGTTGTTCAGAGCTAGCTTGTTTGTTTGGTTTGGAAATGAACTTTGAAGAAAAGTTCTATCTCAGCTGGCACTCTTGCTGAAATCAATATTCAAGGATTTAAAGTTTGGAATCTTATGCTTCCGAAGAGTTTTTCAGAGCTGTTTGCTTGGTTTGGAGTTTAGATCTAAATAAAAATCTGAGAATAAGTCTTCAGAGTTAGAATCGTCGTTTAGATGGTTAAATCTTTGAAGGAAAATAGATGATTCAAGATCTTTGAGTTGTGAGTTGATTTCCTCTTCGAAGATTTTAAAATTTTGGGATCTCATTTCTCTGATTAATTGTGTTAAGGATTGTATCTTCTCTTTTAAAGTCCTTATTTGGTTGGTAATGGATATGTCATTTTCAATTATCTGACTGTCCCATCTCTGAGCAACCCACTCAATGCAGAATTTTATGAAACCATTGTCTTGAGTGAGATCGCTGAGAATTTGTTCACTGACACCTTTTTGTTCCATTATTTTGAGAGTTTTTAGGACAATTTTGGGTAGTTGATTCTCTTGGTATCTTAATATTTCCATATTATATTAATTTGTTATTACAAAACCCGATAAATTTAGGGGTTTTGGGGTTTTGGGGTTTTGGGG